AGGTATATATAGGGGAGTTGTTCAGAACTGAGATCAGATCGGAGATCTCGTTGAATTGTATTGGAGTTTAAGTATCTAGTTATTGGAGTAGTGGAGTTTTACCGCGTTATTGTACTTGGTGTTGGTTTGGTATTTGAACCATCACACCTGTACAGTGTACTATACCAATTACGGTAATATTACGTTGCGCGTGACAATATTCTTAATTGAATAATGTACATTTTAACTCCCAATTTTACCAACAAATTGCTGTGTGCAACTTCTTTGTTAATTTGGAACTAAGTGGATATAATTTTGCATTACCTGCAGACAGAAATTTAATTTAATTGCCAAGACATTTTGCCCTGGCTCTACCACAAATTTTAAAATTTCTGAAAAGTCAAATCTTGAAGAAAAAGGACCAGAAATAATAAAAATTGACACAAGTAGAACTAAGGACCCAGAGATATGTTGTACTACATATTGCGTTTTCTATCACTAAAACTAAAATTGTCTAAATTGTCCAAGTCTTTTATTATTTGCACAATCAGAATAGCATTTTCAGATTTCATCTTCTGGGTAAACTCAATAAATCTTGAGTGTACATAACCTCTAAAAACTATGTCTTGCTTTTTTATGGAATGCACTGCACACATGGTTAGAATATTATATAAATTATATTGCGAGTAGATATGTACAGATTTGTGAATCAGCTAGAATCCTCTCTAACTAAGATATTTGTGTGAGACCTAAAGCGATATAGACAACACATGTAAAACTCACTGTTTGCCCAAAATTCGACACTCTGATTAAAATAAATTCTAGTTTGTTTGTTTGTTGTTTCCCCATTTTTCAAATATTTATTCAAATATGTGTTCTCATATATTTTATTCTAATTTATTATTTATATGCTGGTCTTGGTCGCAAATAAAATAATTTCTATTTAATAAATTAGCTAGGAATAAAATAAATCATGAAATTAAAAATGTAAACACTGTACAATACATCACATCAGAATGACTCTATTCCATTTTTTAACAAATTTAATTTAGTACATCTTTTTTTTTTTACTAACGAGATGAGAGCCACCCTCACGCGGCGTTTGGAGGAGTGAACATTTCATGTTATGTTGTATAGCGCCCTCATACGAATGTTTGTTATATTCAATAAGCCATCAAAGATTCGTAGACTGAGGTAGACTCGCCTCCACCTGTGGCCCCCGGCGAACCTGCTCTTTGTTCATTGTATCAAACATATAAACCACTGAGGGCAGTATATACATGTAGTATCGTCAAAGCGGTTTACGTAGTTCAAATGATAATGTGGGTGGCTACCATTCATGTCGAATGCCCATGCAAGAACAATTTTAACACTAAGTTGTAAGTGCGCCCTGTCACGTGGTGTACTTATATTTCGCCTTGTTTGATTTATGCCTCCGACAGTAGAAATCGTAGGGAAGAAATCAGACAAGGAAGCTTGGGTACGTTTGATTTAATAATGTTTATTGTCATTTAGGCCACAGGCCCATATGACTATACATAACAGAAAAACAAAACAATACACAAGCACTGGAGAATGTACAGAAATTGTAAAATACATATATATATAACAAAAATTTTTTTTTCTGAATTGGGAAGATGCCAAAAATACTCAGGAATTAACTGTTTCCTCATAGAGTGAAATAATGGGCAAACAAGAACAAGATGGTACTCGTCCTCTACATTAGATAAACAAAACTATTTCATCAATTTCCAACCCTGTATAGCGCCCCTCTTCAATGCGCAATCTATGACTAGAACAGCGAGTACGTGCGAGAGCATGTCTGTGTTTAGCCTCCGTGACTACAAAAAGATATCTTTCTGGTTCAAGCATGGTTTTAAAATTACAATATGACCTTAGTTTGGCAGTGCAACACATTTCACTGTACCAATCTGTCGCATACGACTTATTTACCACTTCCGTGTCACTGAGAATATTCTAGAACCGTACTGTGTCTGGGTGGAATATTCTAGATTTTTTTTAGAAACTGGTTGAGTAGGTAATAGAACACTGTAGGAGGCAATAGAAGGTAATGGAACATTCTAGAAATGTGTAGTAAGTTCCAGACTCATTATGTATGCTGATGTAATGGTCTATTTATAGACAGTGGGGGTATATATAGGGGAGTTGTTCAGCACTGAGTTCAGATCGGAGATCTCGTTGAATTGTATTGGAGTTTAAGTATCTAGTTATTGGAGTAGTGGAGTTTTACCGCGTTATTGTACTTGATGTTTGCAGAGTATAATAATACCAGTACCAGTTGAAACCTCATCTGTTGGCTCCGTGTTCGTATTTTATCATCGCCGCCAGGGAAGTCTTTCTGTTACTGTTGCAATTTTGGTATTTGAACCATCACACCTGTACTATACCAATTACGGTGATATTACGTTGCGTGTGACACAGTCCTGTCTATGAATATCAATTATCCGCTGCTTGAACTGTACCAAGAACA